AAAGGGGGAGCTAATAGCAACGAGTGCCTGAAAGAAGGAAATGTTCTGAAACTGATTGTGGTAATGACTGTACAACTCTTTTTTTTTTTTTTAACATTTTATTAGGGGCTCATACAACTGTTATCGCAGTCCATACACACATCAATTGTGTAAAGCGCATTTGTACATCATTCTCAAAACATTTTCTCTCCACTTAAACCCCCGACATTAGGTCCTCATTTCCCCCCAACTCTTATTGATATGATTGAACTATTGAATTGTATGATGTTTAGATGATATGCAAATAAAACTGTTTAAAAAGAAATAAAAAATGGCAGTCAAGCAAACCTCCTAAGCAGTCATACTCTGTAGCACTGCGGTCAAGCGTGAGCCAGAGTCAGCTTGACTCGAGAGCAACGGGCTTTGTGACAACCTCTTGTCATAAAAGCCACCCATTTAAAGTATAAAATTCTCTATAATTTAGTACACTCACTGCATTGCGCTATCCCCAGTATATGCTAATTTTCTAATTAACCTCTCTTTATTTCTAAAAATTAAAGCTAGAGAATCGCAAGTTCGCAAACATTAACGAGCTTTGTGAACCCGTCGGCTCTACAGGTGCTGCGTCTCTGACCAGGCTTTTCTCTCTCTTGATCTCTGTGAAGAGGGCCCAGGAAAACTCAGCCCACAGGCTCTTACAGCCAGTCAAGCTGTTGTCCTTGAACTTTCTGGCCCCAATGGACTGCATTCTGAAAGGGAGGGGAGAGGGGACACTGCAGTGGGCAATTGCTTTTGGTGCTCCTTGGTCAACAGCAGCCAAAGATCCCAACACTCCTTTATTTCTTCAAAGAGGAATACATTATTTCCATGCAACACTCTTGCTGGCCTGTAGAGGGCAGACATTTTCCCAGGCAGAGAAAGCATGGAGACCCATGTTTACCCAAACCACTTCCACAATCCGATTAGGAGAAAGCACCTTTCTAGAATTTTCTGTTTATGGATCTTGTCCTAGTTCTTTGCAACTCATCCCAGTCCTGAAAACCTGTGAGGGGTCTGCATGCTTTCTGGAAATTATCCTTCGGTGTTTGCTTCTCTTTTCTTTGTTTCCTTTTCCTGGCTAACCCGGGTTTCTTATTCCTCAGAGGAACACAGAGTTTTATCTTTTTCCTGGTCTGACTTTACGTTGCACATTTCTTATGCCCAGTGGGAGAGAAAAGTTCACAAACAGATCAGCTCTAGTACACAGCTTCCCAAGTTTTTCATCCTATGGCGTCCCAGGGATGTGATATTTATCTTACTCCCTGAAGTGAAGTGGTTTGGAGCCTTCCTGGGGCTGCTCAACACAGGATGCTCCACGTTCCCTGGTGGAACCTATTCTGCCTCACTTCTTATCCTCCAAGACATGGCTGCTCTCTACTCTGCAGGTTTTGACTCAGGTATGAGTTATTAGTCATTGTTGGGTCCACTCTGACTATAGATGTGCGCAGTAGGCTGGGGTTATAAAAGATGCTCCTCATTTCTTTTCTGCTCACTTATCTTTGGAGTGTCAGTCCCACCACAGTCTTAGAATAGGTGGTACTGTGTTCAGAATCCCTTGCCTCAGTTAGCAATGTACATATAACCCAAGCTGAATGATCAATGAAACCAGATTTGGGTTAAGACACAGGAAGTAGTCAGCCAATTGTGGGAATCTGAGCTCAATAGGCATGTCCATTTAGGGACGGCTACAAAAAACTGTTCATGTTGAGGTCAGGAAGCCAGACAGAAAATAAAGGAGAGAATGAAGCAACATGCTGAGCTCAGCAGAAGGTGGGAGGGAGAGAAGACATGGGTGGTGGTGAGAGTTAGTGTTTTTTGGTGCCAACATGTCTTTGGTAGGAACATATGTGATGAGTTTAGCCTGTCAATCAGGTCACAGCATGGTCGGAGGGTGACTGAGATAAAAGGGTCACTGGAGGTGGGCCCCTCGCTCTTTCTGCTTCATCTGTCTGTTGACAAGCCACTTCAAGCCATGCTGATGGCAGCCAGAGTCCTGGAGATGCATCCACTGCCATCGGACCTACAAGACTTTGCACGCACTGGCCTGTGATCTTCCTGCATTCTGCATCATTCTATGTGGCTACGTGAGTCCGAAGAGGGATTTATGGACTAGTATTGGACTTATGGAGTAGTATCAAACTTATGGACTTGATTTGGGCTGGGATCTTTTTTTGATATTCCATTGCTAATTGATCTAAAGTTCTTTCTTATACATATATGAGTGCCACTGGCTCTGTTTCTCTAGTCAATCTGGCTTAACACAGTGGTTCAGGGGTAGAATTCTCCTCCATTGTTTGCAGGAATCCTGGCTTCACTTCCTAGCCAATGTGCCTAGCTTTCAGCCACCCCTTTGTCAGCAGAGGTGTGAATGTTGTTGCGTGGCTAAACATATTTCAGTAGAGCTTCCAGACTTTAAGATGGACTAAGAATAAAGACTTGACAAGTTACCTCCCCAAATCAGCCATCGAAAACTCTGTAGATGACAACGGTCCAGCCTTCACCTCTTTATGGGGACGGCATAGGCCTGGGTTGGTTGTGGGTGAGGCAGCCATGGCTCCCAAGTCTACCTTGCAGCAGATAACAACAGGGCCAGAGAAGTGGAAAGGGGCGGTGTGTGTGTGTGTGTGTGCAGGGGGGAATGCTGCTGGTGATCATCTTGCATTTTATTTTGTGAAATTCGACTTCTTCATTATCGTCCATTTTTTCTTCCCTTGAGGTGGCTTAAAAGAGCTCTGGTAGTGTCGTAGGCTACACATTGAGCTGAAAATCACAAGGTCAATGGTTGAAACCCACAAGGTGCTCTTCAGGAGAAAAAGAAGGCTGTCTGATCCTGGGATTATTTGAGTCTCTGAAACCCATGGTTACAAGAGGGTACCCCCCAAAAAACGGAATTTATTTTTTCAAAGCTATGTATTTATATTAAATTTTTTTCAAAGTACTCTCCATTACACTTAATACATTAATCAAATCTGTGATTCCATTCTTTTTTCTCTCCATCATTTTACTGGGGGTTCTTCCAGCTCTTATAACATTCCACACATCAATTGTATCAAGCATATTTGTACATATGCTGCCATCATCATTTTCTAAACATTTTCAACTTGAGCCCTTCATATAAGCTCCTCTCCCCCTTCCCACCCTCCTGTATCCTTGATCAATTATATATTGCTATTATTATTTTGTATCCTTGTCTCCCTTCACAAACATTTCCGTTATGCGTCCCCTTCGCAGTGTGTGTGTGTGTGTGTGTGTGTGAGAGAGAGAGAGAGAGAGAGGGGCACACTATATATCCAATCTTGTGGTGAGTTCCCCTTTTCTCACCCTTCATCCTCCATGACCACCCCCCTACCCTCATGATATTGCTACTCCCATTACTATTCCTAAGGGGTTTATCTTTCCTGAATTCCCTGTGTCAATAGCTCTTATCTGTACCAATGTGTGTTCTCCTGTCTAGCCAGCACTGGGTCATGGTAGTGGGCCAGGAGGAAGTTTTCAGGAGCTGGAGGAATGATGTGTGATTCATTGCTGTTAACGACACTTTGGTTGAACCATCCCTTCCTTATACCACTTCTGTGGGGGGCTATCCAATTATCTACAGATGGGCTTTGTGTCTCCACTCCAACACCCCTCTTTCACATCGATTTAGTTGTTTGTTTTGGATCTTTTGATACCTATTGCTGTATCCCGTCAACACCTCATGATCACCAAGCTGGTGGGCTTCTTCCATGTGGGCTTATTTGCTTCTCTGCTAAAAGGCAGCTTGTTTTACTTCAAGCCTTTACAACTCCAGACGCTACATCTTTTGATAGCTGAGCACCACCGGTTCTCTTCACCACATTTGCTTATGCACCCATTTTGCCTTCAACTATTGTGTCAGGACAGTGAATGTCAAAGAGTGCCAGGTTATCAGAACAAAGTTGTGATTCCATTGTTGGAAACCTTTTTCAAACTCATCTGTTTGAATGGCTGACTGCCCCTCCGTCATTTTTTTCTTCACCTTTTCTATGTTGTCAAATTGCTGTCCTTTCATGTCTCTCTTGATTCATGGAAACAAAAAGAAGTTGCATGGAGTGAGGTAAAGTGAATGAGGTGCGTGGGACAAGAGAGGTATGCTGGATTTTTGTTTTGTTTTGTTTTTGGAAAAAACTGGTGCACTGAGATGCCTGCATGAGTGGATACATTGTCCTGGTGGCAAAACCAGTCCCCCGCCTGCCACAAATCAGGCCTTTTTTGTCCCACACTATTACAGTCTTTTCAGATCCTCTTAATAGAAAACTTGATTAACAGTCTGATCTGGTTGGAATGAACTCCAAACGCACCACGAATCAACATTTTTGTTGGTTCAGGAAGTTGGCAGATGTCCAGAATGAGGTTTGTCATCAATCAACATTTCATCTTTTCTGAACCAGAAAACCACTGTACACTTACGTTTTCCCCCATAACCTGTTCTCGGAAGCTGTGTTCAACATCACAACAGGAGTCTTTTCCAAGCAGGAAACAAAATTTCATAGTCCCACGCTGTTCTCTTAAATCCGCCACACACAAAAAATGAGGTTTGAGTGAAACTTTTTACGAAAAATTCACTGTGACCAGAGAGAACCTTCTCAGGCAACGCCACTGGGTGCACTAACTCAGAGCGAGTTGCTTGAAGCTCACTTAGTGGGAAAAACTGCATACTAGAAAGCTCTGCCTAGTTGAGCTTTATTCCATTTCTCTTTCTTTGGTATCACCTCATATGTCCTACAGGGTTGTTATGGTTGGAATCAACTCGATGGCAGTGAATTTGGGTTTTGGTTGAAGTGTTTGGGGGTTGCAGGAAGGTGTGGGGGCATGCATTTTATGCCTTGTAGGTGCAGGAGGGTGGTGCTGCTGAGAGAGATGGGTGATGTCAGAGTCAGGATACTTTGGGTCTTGTTTCAAAACAGAACACTACATTGGTGCAGAAGTAAAGTAACAAAGCAGCCACCAAGACAGCATTTTTCTTTTGAAAGATTTTATTAACTGTTTGGCCAAACAAGAAATGGAATTTGAGAATAATAATTTGCTAAAAAGTTCAGGTCATGAATGCCCAGTTCCTCTATGAAACAAAAGACTCCATGGTTACAGATGTACCATTGGATTATGGCAACATTTCAAAATAAAGTCTCCAATTTGTATGTAATAATGTAAACTTCAAAAATAGTAAACTCTAACCCTCTGGTCCCTCTTTACAGATATATCACAGAATTTTCTGGTAAAACTAAATTGTGTAAGTAAATAGCCTGGTGCTTAAAAGTTTCATAAAAAGATTTACAGATAGAGTAGATAATTTTTTCTTTCATTTTGACCATGAAGTAAAAGCAACCAGCAATTCACCCTTTACATAGTCTACCTACCTGCAGATTATACATCATGTAACAATGTTCCACATAAAAGGGTCATCGGGTTTGTCATTTTTGTACACATGTTTTTTATTTGTTTCTTGAGATTTCTATGCCTAAATTATAAGACAGAGCCAGTGACTTATAATGTCACCTCGCGTCACATAAGTAAAGAAAAAATTCTGTAGAAGGCACTGTAATTTCTCTTGCATGATCTTACCCAGACACCTGGGTGCAAGCCAGAGGGGGCTTGACTAATCATTCCCTTCCTATTCCCTGGTACAAGACTTTCTTCCAATGTCATCTCTACATTCACCATATTAGATGGTTTTGGTGTTCTATCCATACTATCCATCCCTCCACGTTAATTTACAGTTAGTTGTCTTTTGGTACTATGAAATTCTTTGAAATTAAGAGTACAGCTCTGGTATAAAGCGAAGTAGGACCTACCTCAGCTGAAAAATAATCACAGTGTGCAATGTAATCCCCAGTCACTAAGATTCCAAACATTTGCTCTGGCTTGTCAGGAATATTTGTAATCCAAAACAATCTATGCAAGGATAATTCAAACACACTTTGCATCATTTGTAAAGAGCTAAGAGGCTCTTTTTCTCTCTCTCATGTTGAAGTGGTACCCTTAAGTGAAAGGTCTGATGTGGATAAAGTGCAAGCAAATTGGACATGCCAATAAATACCATATAACTTACTGCAAATTACCAAAACTGTACAGGTATGTACACCTCACACACTCAGGCTCCTCTTGTCAGGAAAAGGCTTCCAAATTGTTATCATAATGAAATCACTACATACTTCTAGAGAGATGATATTATCGGGCAAAAGAAGGGTGAGTTCTTCGATTCTTGCTCTGGAGTCCTGAGCCCAGATCCGTGCTGCCCTCTGCCGTCTCCTCCTTATTCCTCATTTTGCGGTGGGTGAGCAGTTTAATTAGCCAGACATCCCACTCCTCAGGCAACAGCAGGAGAAGGAAGCCCAGGCCGATAATGATGATGGCAATTACGCGCACTCCGTTAAAGACGATCTTACTTGTGTAGTGATCAACCACTGCATATGACAGAGAGCCCTGGTTAGGGAAGAGGCATTAACTCGCGTGTCCCTTACAGAGTGGGCTGGGTCTTAAGCATCCTTTTCTTCCTGGAGGGGTCTTCTCTGACTAAAGCTTCTTCTTTGGTATGATTTTGTACCAGAATAGCTAGGGATGCCTCCAGTAAATCACCGTCCCTGATAGGAGCACTTGTCTTTGTATTTCGCTTCCCGCAAATGAACAGACTTGCTAGTGCAGGCATTGCTTTGTGTGATAAATGAGGGGCACTTTGGGTTATCTATTAGTAATTAATCAATCCATTTGGAAGAAAATACACCAAAATTTAATTGTGGCGAATTATGAGTGTTAGAAAATGGAAAACGTTATTTCTTTCTGTATATTTTTGGTACGTTTACTACAACGACATGCTTTGTTTTTATAAATTGAAACATTACTGTGTGTGTATATATATATACACACATATATTCTGTATGTATATATTTATTTATATATATATTAAAAAGACTAAGCAAACATTTCTTTAGGGTAGTAAAGGTAAATTCCCATTCTACCTCAAGGCATTGATGAATGTAAGGCACTGATGCCAAGATATCAAAGCACATGGAAGACCCAGGGTGCTGCTGTGGGATAAGCACTGGGTTGCTAAACACAAGGTCCTTGGTCCAAGCCACGAGCTGCTCTGTAGGAGAAAGATGAGGCTGTTTACTCTCCTAAAGATTTAAAGTCTTGGAAACTCTATACAGGGTCACTATGCGTTGGATGGTGACACATAGTGGCAGTGGGTTTCAATTTTGCTTTGGTTAAAGACTTGTCACTCACATCACAGAGGGAACTGAATGAGAAACAGGATTCATGTCAGTTCTTAAATACGGGGACCCTCTGCTCCCTTAATAGCTAACAGGTCACAGCATGGTGACAGTACTATTTCTTTCTTTCCTTTTTCAAGCCAAACCAGACAAAAGCAAACAAATTTGGAAACTGTTTTCCACACAAGAGAGAAATCGATGACTCTTATTTACCATTACATTCAAGAGGGTTTGGACAGTCTAAAACATTTTTGAAAACTGACTTGTTACACAAGTGCCCATCAATCTCCAGCTGAGGGGTTTGTTGTTTGTTTTTATTTACCTGAGCCGTGGTTGGCCTCATCTTCCTCCACTTTCTCTTGCCTCCCTCTCTCCTCCCTCTCGCCTACTGAATCTCACTCTTTTCACCTCATTTAGAGCATGGACAAAGAAAAAGAGGGAAAAGAGGTCACGTGAGAAAACCCCCGAACTTTGATAGTGATCCTGTTAGTGGAATTTCTTATTGTGGTGGTTGGGTGTCGTTGGTCAATTCGGACACAGGTGACAGAGAAGAATTGTCCTGTAGGATTTTCTTAGCTATAATCTTTATGGGGTAGATCCTTGGGTATTAATTTGTTTGTTTGTTTTTGTGCCAAGCAGCTGAATGGGTTTGAATCACTAACCTTTTGTTTAGCAGCTGAATACAACTGGGGTTGGCCCTTTGAGTGCAATTAGGATACCTCTTTCATCAGACATACTTTAAGTTTTAACATCAAATTCTTTTGAGGCAACTGATATGGATAGTTATCACATGATTTGCACTAGAGAGAGATATCAGAAAGATTCTAAATGTCCCGCTCAGATAATTTAGATGATAAGTAGAGTTCTTGGTTTCCCTGTCTTCCAGTCAAAAATTAAACATAATCCCTTCTTTGACATGTTCTTAAACCTCTTATGTCACAAAGAACTATTTCTTGTTAATAGAAATCATTCTTGTTAATCTCTCAAGCACACCTGGTAATGTGATTATTCAAACTAAGTTTCGATGAGGGTAAGTAAAAAGTATCGCGACTGAGAATTCCAGTTCATACATATAAACAAACCATACTTACATACGTCTCTGTGATCAGTGGGTTACTGCAGGCAAGGTCTCTCAGTTCTTGTCTAAGTTTTGTTGGGGTGCTTCCCAAAACATGTCTATTTAAAACAGTAGCATCAGAAGGGATCTGCCAGGTAAGTTAAAGGCAAGGCAGAGGGCCAGCTCATAGGTGATAGTGACTGTTGGGAGTGTCCCAAAGAGGCCATCTTGATAGATATTCTTGAAGGACACAGAATGTTCACAGAGAGTTATTGGGAAGAAGTTTCAAGAAAATTCAAATAGATATTTATTGGTGAGGAAACAAAAGGGCCAGGAAAGTTGTGCTGTGAGGAATACTTTTTTCCATCATGACAATGTACCCACTTATTCTTAGCGGGTAGCAAGGGCTATCTTATGAGAACTTTTTTAGGCAACCTTACTCCATTCACCCTACAGCCCTGATCTTGTCCCTTCAGATTTCTTTTTGCTCCCTGAACTTAGAGAACATTTAAAAAGCGCCTGGTTAGAATCCCTTGAAGACAATGAAACGTTGACATTGACTTCGATCCTTTGAAAAATCTTTGAGGAAAGATTCAAGAAGTGGAAACCTTGCCTTTAGAAGTATAGAGACCTAGATGGAGGATATGTTGAGGAACAACACCATTGCAATTTGATAGTTTTGCTTAATAAAGATTTTCCATGATTTTGTAGCAATACTTTTTGATTTACCCTCATATATAAGAACTATAGTCTTGGTGAGTTCCATCTTTCCACAGCCCTACCAATGTATAGCCAACGAAACCTAAACTTTAGCTACTGATTCCCTGTTTTTTGAACAATTTCATCAAATGTTTTCCACTCACCTCTTTGAAGAGGTTAAATATGTATTTATTTGAAAATATATATGTGAAACTTTATAACTTTTAATGTGAGTTGAGTGAACGTTTACATCGCAAATTGGGTTTCCATTCAATGCTTCATGCACATTTTGTTTTGTGACATTGATTGCAATCCTCAAAATTGTAACAGCATTCTTCCTACTTCTTCCAGGTGTTTGATGGAACCTCTTATCGATCCGACTCTAACAGCCTAACTACTCTTTATCATTTGCATTTTCAATAGAGAATAATGTCTCTCTTTGCAGCATTCCAGTTGAGACGGCTCAAAGGAAGACTTCAAAAGGCTATAACTTATTCACCACCATTATGTAGATTCCCACTCATAGTGATCCAACAGGACAGGGTAGAACTGCCACTGTGAATTTCCGAGACTGTAAATCTTTGCCTCAGTAGAAAACCTTGTCTTTTTATTGCAGAGCAGTTGATGGTTTTGAACCTTGAGGTTAGCAGCACAATGTGTAGCCACTACACTATCAGGGCTCTTCAAAAGCCTATAGTGTCTGGAAATTATTGGCTGGGTAACTTGTAACCAGCTTTCTTGATGTTCAGGGGCTTGATACAGTTTTAAAGCCGGTCTCATTGATTCCATTTGCCTTCGCATCTCCATACATAGTGGGGTAGGTGCTATCCTCTTATTATTTGTATCCAAAGCCCAGATCAATGAAAATCTGGGAGCACAGTTATCCAGACGGGCGGAAGTAGGGTTGGGTCCGCATTTGATCTCCTGACTGTAGCCCAGGTGACTTCACCTCTTCTTCAGGGGGACTCTTTCTACTGGGGGTGAGTGTAGGCCTTGGAGAGGCCAAGATGAGGAGCCACACATGAAATGGTCTTGGTCAAACTGAAAGCTACTTTTCTCCTGCTTCCAAGACGATTTAACTGGATAAGGGTTTGCCATGCCTGGAGGTCAATTCTCAGTGGCCTGGCTGTGGAAGATCAAGGAAATGGCAATGGAGCAGGCTGTGCCAAGCAAGGGCAGGGGATGCTCTAGAGAACATTTATATACAAGCGCTTCTTAGCTTGGAGCAGGCTGTACAGGGATCGTATAGGATGCAGGGGCAACCTGGGGAAAATTACAAAATGAAATTCATTCCAGAATGAACCAGAAACAGGGAAGCGCTGATGGGCAGGTGATAATAAGCTTTTTGAAGAGCTGCCAACTATGTTCTTGCCATAAACCCTTAGAGCAGTGGTTCTCAATCTTCCTAATGCCGTGACCCTTTAATACAGTTCCTCATGTTGTGGTGACTCCCCAACCATAAAAGTATTTTTGCTGCTACTTCATAACTGTAATTTTGCTACTGTTATGCAGGTCAACCCCTGCAAAAGGGTCATTCGATCCCCAAAGGGGTCACGACCCACAGGTTGAGAACCACTACCCTAGCAGAACACAGTGGCTTCCATGTTGTCTAAGACAGAGAAAATAATGCTCATGATTGTTTGTTTTTTAAACATGTTTATATGTTATATGTTTTTAAAACATGTTTAAATGTTATATGTTTTTAAAAGATGTTTATATGTTGTGGACATGTTTTCATCGCCAAAAAGTCACTGATTCTCATCGTAACCAAAGTATCAAGGGTGGGTACCACCAGCACCACCTGTCATTGAATCAACCCTACCCCAGGGCAAGCCTATATATGTCAGGGTAGAACTGTGTACCCCATAGGTTTTTTCAATGAATGATTTATCAAGAGTAGATTATCAGGCCTTCCTTTAGTGGTCCCTGTGGGTCGACTCACACATCCAACCTTACCATTATCAGCTGAGCACATTTTAACATCAAGAGACTCCATGGAGGGTTGTTACTGTCTATACTAATTTCTAGGGAAGATAAGTGAAGTCCCAGAGAGGTGGGTCTTGGGATACCCAATAGGGCCATGGGATTCCATTGCTCCAGTGGTGAGCACTTTAATGCTGCAAAGTGAGAATGAAAGGGCTCTCATTCTATCTGGAAGGCAAATGATGAGCAAGAGTAGTCTTCTACATTTATTAATAATGCATTAATTGATGACTGTCACACCAGTTAGAACTAAGATTGCTTTCAACGTTCTGCCTCCTGGTGGAAAAGTAAAAACCCATCAATTATGAAGAAAACATTACCTATAAAACAAGCACTAACATTTTACTTTAATACTACTCTTTGTAGAAAGTGAAGGATGTGTTCTATATTCGGCACAGCAATAATATTTTTGAGTGTACATATGAATGTGTGTGTAGCCAAGAGCTATAGAAAGTTTACCTGCATTTACAAGTACACTGAGGACGATTCCAAGAGACATCAGCGTAGGATATGTAACAGCAATTCCAAAATTTAATATAATATTGAATGCTGAAACAAAGAATAAAAAGATAATTTTTCTTTGCATCTGAGCACATTTCTACATGACTCGTGACTGGCTCTGAGCTTGATGTCTTTTTTAGGTTATCCAACCCCATTTTCTTTCTTTCTTTTTTTTTAATCTCTGTTGTCTTTAACCTTTTTTTTTTTTTTCTTTTTTAAATTTTTATTTATTTAACATTTTATTAGGGGCTCATACAACTGTTATCCCAATCCATACACACATCAATTGTGTAAAGCGCATTTGTACATCGTTTCTCAAAACATTTTCTCTCCACTTAAACCCCCAACATCAGGTCCTCATCTTTCCCCTCCCTCCCCGCTCCCCCCATCCAACCTCATTTTCTCTGAGAAGGTTTAAGCCCCATGACTTTCAGTTGCCATCTGCTATGATTCAGTTCTGGAAATAATAGTGAACCCAGGGTGCTTCTAAGGGCTTCAGGGTCTGGGGCCTGGGGCAAACATGGAATGCGCAGTTACTTTTCTCTTCCCTGGGCTTCTCAGAAATGAAATCCAGAACAGACAGCCAGTGAGAAGACACTAAAAACAGTATTGTGGACATCCTTCTCATTTTTCTCTTCTCTGTCAAGGAATAAGAGCTTTGGGATTTATTTTTAGACTTAAACTGGCTGATGCCATACTGAGTTTCTCTCTCCCCAAGTACCAGCATGACTTCATTGTGAAGTAACAGTAGTGGCCATGGTGCCATTAATAATCATTGATGGTACACATTGAATATTGGTAATTACCAGGCAAGGTTCTCAGAACTCTGTATTTACTCAGAAGCTATCTGGAGTCTATTAGGAGATGACTCGCAGCACATTAGGCTCTGAGTCTAGGTACTGCAATGACTGGTTTTGAAATTAGAATCCAGTGCTATTATTATAAAGGCTTTACTGTGCATAACACAGCAGACCGGGAAAACAGCAGGAACATAATGGTGCAAG